GGTTGCTCGATAGCAGAAGGGCTATACCCATTTATGTTCTTCATGATAAATGTACTCGTAAATGAGAGACAAAACAACATTATAATTTTACGAAATTAAATTAGATGTTACTTTCACACTCATATATGAAGTATCAGATGTACAAAATTTCAGCCAACATTATTGTATCAATGTACAATCCGAATTGTAACTCCGAATCTTACACCCCTAGGCCTATAATAAAATTTTGTGATTTCGGAAGAAATATTAATTTCAGCTTATTCCGACCCTAAATTTTTGTTGCATCACTAATCTATCTTTTTTAGAGAGCCCAGGGTTGTAAAATTACGGTAAATTACCAAATGGTAAGTTATTGGTAAGTAACTTTATTTTATTCCGAAAGTTTCCATGTTTGATGACAACCATCACGAACATTTCTGATAATGATTGTAACTTACCATCAAACTTTCGTGGTAACTTACCGGTAATTTACTACGGCAGTAAGTTTATCACAGACACCCTTGAGGGCCCCAGATGATTCTGCATAGCATATTTGTAGGATTTACTAATTTTCCCAAAATTTATACGTATTGGCGGAGATTATTCATATCAATTGCAACATGTCACCTTCTGTTTAAAACTTGACATCTCAGTTAGGGTATGGGGGTAGGATTAGTGGTAGCAGTATGCTAGAAATTTGCAAAAATTTTTTTTTCGCTAATACGCAAATGATTTCTTATGCGAGTTTTTAGATGAATGTAACTTTACAAAAAAAAAGCGAATCATCAGTTACACCTGCTCTTGCTTTCTGAGCAGCCAAAGCAAACTTGGGAAACATTAATAATCGCACATAGCACTGTAATATCTATCCTATTTATAATTTAATAATAGCCCGTCAGCGTAAGCGACGGGTTATATACTAGTTATATAAAATTTATATAAATGGTTTATTTAAAATTTATTAATATGCAAAAGTTATGTAGTTATAATATATAACTTTTATAAGTATGTAAAAGTTATATAAAGTTTTTATATAAAATTATATCTATATAACTTTAAATAAATTTAATATAAATGTTATAATAAATTATATATAATAATTATTCTATAAAAGTTGTATATAATATTTTATATAGGATTTACATAAACTTGTAGACTTACATAAGATTTTATAAAAATTGTACTTGCTGATGACCGTTAAAATGTATAACTTTATTAATAAATTAGATACAATCTTGCTAATTTATATCAAGTTTAATTTTGAAAATTTAGTAAATTCAATATGTGAACATGTTCTTGATTACAATATTGCCCATTCTCTAAAAACAATTCCAGAATGCTATGTTAAAATTTGTTTTTATAATCTTCTTCAATAATTCTGCTCGCCTTCCATGCAACCATAGCTGTAGGAGCATTAATATTGCCACTCGGAATAATTGGAAAGATTGAGGCGTCAACGACTCGAAGATTCTTAGTTCCATAAACTTGAAGACGTTCATTAATAACTCCAAATTGAGATTCTGGAGCCATTTTTACCGTTCCACATGGATGAAAGCATGTATATAGCTATAAATAGAAATAATAATCAGATTTAATTAATAGTTAATGTCAGGGATATTGCTGAAATTTTATCTTATTTTAGTATGAAATCTTAAATTACTAGATTAGGTGATGTTAACGGTCTGATTTGTCCAGTCCGTCTCAGTTTTTAGCATGGTTTACTATAAGTCTATAGTAGCTGGTCAAACCAGTCTAGACCGGTCCAGAATGGTCTGGTCTTAGAACTAAAAGCAGACTCTTTTTTTTTAGTTCGAGGTTAGTATTAAGACTAACTGTGATCTATTAGCCTAGACCAGACTGTTTAGCATCCCTATACTCGTCGATGAAGTATCTCTAAATTACCTTATTACGAATATACATTTCCCAATCATTATCACTCATCTCGCTTCCATTTTCGCAGCTGCTACACCACTTTCCATACTCATCATTAATTCCAATTTCTTTTACGCCCCAAAATGTACTTAACGCTGAATTTTTCAGTATTTCACGGGATAATTTAAGTGAACTAATCATCCTACGCAGGTCATCAGGTTTTTCAAAGTAATTAGGATATATTTTTGGTTGATCGAATGGATTTGAGCTTTGCAATTCCAGATAACCAGTGCTGGATGGAATATTTAATGCTGAAATCATAGATATTGCATCAAATTTCTCTGTAAAGCTATTACTAGCAATAGCATTCGTAGGCGAAATCGCATGTTTGGGTAAATTCGTGCTTACTGAAACAAAATAAAATAAAAATCACTACTGTATTGATAATAAAACAGCGTTTTATGAATAAACAATTAGTCTAGCCTCAATATATATATAGTCACAAATTGTTAAAGTTTGCTTAATAAATTTTTTGTGGGAGATCTATAGGCATTTAATCTCCCGTGATTTTGTAGTGATCGGAGATTATCGAAACGCTTTCAGATAAATGTTATGAACCCATTTTACAAAAAATAAAAATACATCTAATATTATCAAATTACCAAAGATTGAAAAATCAGGACTTTCATTAAGGAAATCTTCTCTACAAGGAATTTTTCCTTCAGGATTAGCTTTATGAAATATTGCCATTTCAGCTCCATTACTCCAATAATGAAGTTGTGAAGTATTCGTGCTGTTTGGTGTTGAAACTTTAGCAGCGATAACACACGAAGGATGATCCATTAAATTTCGTCCAACCGGTAATTCTTTACGAACTTTGATATTGTTTGCTTCTAAATTATCTTTTTGACCGATACCAGAAAGCATTAAGATCTTTTAAAACGTAAGTCAGTTATACATATTTGATAGTGATAACATATAGTAAATAATCCATACCTGAGGACTATTAATGGCACCACCACAAAGTATTACTTCACCTTTCGGAGAAATGTATGCATTATGTACTGCACCGTTATAGAAATATTTCACACCAATTGCAGTATTATCTTTGTTTTTAGTGTTTTCGTTCCAAAGAATTTCCAAAACGTGAGAAAAAGATTTAACGTTAACTGCAATGAATTTTCCAATTTCATTGGGTAATCCATAAGGAGGTCCTAGAGGTTGTAGCCTAGGATAAACTTCAACTTTTTTCAATGCATCTTTTAAATAACTGTTAGCCAATGAACAACGTTCACCACCCTTTGTTGTAAACTATTGTTCATTGCATCACATTTTAGGTTAATAAATAACTACACTTAAATAAAATAGCATATCGGAAGACGATTATATTAACAATTGCCTGAAATGGGCCTGCTCCATTTTGCCTATAACCATTAAAATCATTATTATGAGGAATTCCAAGATTCTTTGCAACCTTGATTACATCTAAAACTATCTTGAAATTATCATTTTGAATGTCTTCTACATGAAGTAAACCATTGAACCCATGATATTTCTTGAATTCTTCGTCAGGTTTTTCGCGTGCATTGTTTTCAATTGCTTTGAAAGCTTTAATATAAAATTATCAAAATGTCAAGGGCCTAATTTTAGTGATTTTTTTAGTTGATAATATTCGATTATATGAAGTTTTTGCTTTGAAAATTACCTTATGTGATATAGTGGTTACTATGTCCCGTGAGATTATTTTCATGGCAAAGACCCCGTATACTGACCTTCAAAACAGTGATTCCAATCCCAAATTTTGTATTCAGGGCCTTGAGCAGCCCATTTATTGTATTCTGTTTTTTGACCGCGCCTAATAGAATCGAAATGAAAGAATGAAAATACTATTAAATTGAATTCATTCAAATTCATTTACACACCCTAAATTTCATAGTTAAGCAGAAGCTAACTTCTATTATGTTTTCCAAGTATTTAGTTGTATTTCATTTCAGTAATTGTATATATATATATATAGAATATAAATACAATAGTGTTTACTTTGGTATAAATTTGATCAAGCGTATATTTTGGTCAAACTGAAAAAAAATCAAAATTTGTTTTTAAATAAAACTTACCTATTACAAAATATTTAGAGTTTTTTATACCCATAATGTAGTAGTCTTGTTCATTGGTATTTGTCACATCCGTTTTTAAATAATTTGTTACATGATGTAACAATGATATAAATGGATGTGACAATTACCAATGAACAAGACGTTTAATAACATTGTAATGTAATGCACAAAATTTCAAAATACAAAATTTATGCAAAAGAGTAAATACATATAAACCATTGCATTCACAGAACTACATCCACCCCAAATCTTTCCGCGTGGATAAGCAAACCCTCTGTTTACTACTTCTTTAGTAGGTTCAATAGAACTTGTCATCCTTTGAGCTTCAATAAAGTATCCCCAGTCAGTTTCACTTGTTCGCTGGACCTGTTAGTTAAAACAATTTAATGACAGAGAAATAAACTTCAAAGGAATTTTGTGAACTCACATAAGGATAACCACACGGTAAACTTTTTTTGTCATTAACTTGAGCATCCGGAGGCCCAGCTTCCAGTACCAAAATATTAATATTTGGGATATTATAAATCAATTCTCTTGCTAACACACAACCCGCAGTGCCTGCTCCCACTATAATGAAATCATAAACTTCCTTAATTTTTGAAAACTTCCTACGTTCATCACGCTTATAAATGCTTTCAGACCAAAGTTTACGAATTTCGGCATCAGTCTTTAAGTCATCGTATAATTCTGAATCAGTAGTCATCGTCGAGATGATGAGGATGACTTTATTTTATTATAAAAATGAATTCAACTACAAGGGAAATTCCAAATATACGGGCCTACGAACTGGTTTTACTTATTTATGTCAGTAACACAAGTGTAATGTAACAGGATCAAAAGGTGGAAATGTACATAAAAATAGAAACACATTACACAATTCATGATAGTAGAAATCAAGCAGATCTACATTTTTTATAAAAATGAGTTATATCATCGATTTGATAAAAAAAGTCATAATAAACATTTTTTACTTATAAAATATAGTCAATAAACGTAATAAAATTTTAAGTTAAATATAAAAAATTATTTTTGTTTATTCGTATAACCTTGATAGATCTATTTTAGCTCGGAGATCGGATTATGTCGATTATGTCGACGTGACCATCGCAATAATAAAACAGTGTCGATCATTGACTAACTAGTGCCGTCAATAGAAATCAAGCAGATTTATTAGAGAAATCTGCTTGATTTCTATTGACGGCTATTTTACATGAACCTTTTAATAATAAAACGAATATTTCATTTCCTTTTTAACCTCGCTTACCTTTGGCTCACAAATTGTTCCCCTAAGGAATTGTACGTCTCGAACTTCAGCACTCAGATCTAGAGATGGGCAAATCGCGGTTTTTCCAAAAATCCCGCGCGGGGATTCATAGGTGCCGCGGTTGATCCTCGATTTTGATTGGCCAACGGCTGTGATCGACAAAATTCTGGCCCGCATTATACAT